TGCCAAGCCCATTTCCCAAAATTTTATTATAGACGTATTTCTTGGCAAAGAATTGTTGCAAACATCAATTTTTAATAAATTAGCTTTAATATTTACTGATTTATCGAAGATTTCGTATTTGTCTAAATTACCGTTATATCTACGGTGACCATCCGTTCTGTTTTTTGCAGGACCGTACTGTTTTTCAAAGGTCGGTCCTGCGTAATTTTTCAAACCTGAAAAACCTGAAAATGTACTGATTTTTTCCAAGTTAGCTTAGCATGAGAGTTGTCACATAAGAATCTGTTAAACGGGCTTTGCGTGTTAAGCCTGATATACAGTTCCATGCGAGCGTGAGTGTGAGCTTTTTATTTATTTATATTATTCTTCGTTATTACATAACTTTATGCAATGTTTGATACACCAAAAGATAGAGAATTAATCTTCAGAATTTTAGAGTAAAAACTAATTTAAAATGCATAATATGCCTTTTTTCAAGCTCACACTCAACTGTGTGCGTACGCAAAGCATTCGCATGTAAACGACAAGTTTTGACAGATGTGTGTGGGCGTCCATTTTAAATTAGTTTTTATTCTATAATTCTGAAAGATATTTTAATTCTCTGTCTTTTCTTGTCTCAACTATAGCAAAAAGTTGAGTAATAACAAAGATATTGGTCAAAATAAAAAGTTCACGCTCACGCTCGCATTGAACTGTATAACAGGCTTAAGCGGTTACCCAATGCATAGTACTTAACATGTAGAATTCTGTTCGGTTTTGATTTTTACGTAAAAATGGTATAGCAGTGCAAGTATGCATAACTGGGCTATTATAGCCCGCTTACACGCAAAGTTCGTTTAACATTCTTATGTGACAACTCTCATGCTAAGCTAAGTATGCATAACTGGGCTATTATTCGCGTTGGAACGTCTACGCATGAATTAGTGAAAAAGTATGCATGTATTGCTATTGTCATGACAACATAGTTTTCAATCATGATGCAATAATACAAGGTGGTATCAGTTGTGACAGCTCGCTTTGACACTGCCTTCCCTGCAAAAATCGTTGGACCATGTAGTCTATTTGTGGTAAATTGGAGTACTTACAAAAGTGTTCCTCTGTCATGCTGTAGCGGACCAACTCGTGTCTCTGCGGCAGCTTATTGTTTGTTATCCGATCACTGCTCGTGTTTTAACGAAACGTGATTGAAGTTGAGCATTTGAAAGCACATTTGCATGTCTGGCTGTAGCTGAACGTGTAGAGATGCTCGCTGTTATTTCTTAGCTCCCAGCATGTTCGGGTTCGAATACCGTCAGAGGCAACATGTAATTTTTAATTTTTGTCTTGGTGTTTATTAATTTCGAAAAAGCATTTGAGAATTGAAGAACAAAAGCGTGAACAAACGAAAAAATATAACAACAATGCCCATTGTTAATATGTTGGAGTAGTTTTGTGCTACTCTGATGTAATGCAGGGATGGAGTATATGGTCCTGCCCTAGGACATCGCAATGTTAATTGGACCATATTTTTTATATGAATTGTGGTTAATTTTGGAGTACTCTTTGGTCCTTAGGGAGTACTCTTTACACGCATGCATGGAGTAGTCGCGATTTTTGCAGGGTTAGCTCAGTAGAATGAGAAGAAAAACGGGAAGAAATTAATCCCCATATGGGGGAAAAATTAAAACTTCACATTTTCTCCTAAACAAAATTTGCTTTTTTATAGTACATTCGTAATGAAATGAAATAAAATAAGATAAAATACCTTTTTAGGGAAACAAAATTTGTATACTGAGAAAAAATAAAAAAACGTTCAACTATATTATTAGGCAAAGAATTGTTAAAGAAGTAACACTGTTACTCCTAAGGCAGTCAATATAGTGGAATTAGAGCGTGAAGTTGCCAACCGACAACATCTTGTATTATTGCATCATGGTTTTCAATGCATGCGTTTTTGACAACTAAGGCTTTCTGCACATTGGTCGTCCAATTATAGTTACTTCATCGTTACAATCTTGATGCAACGATTACATGACGACTACATTTTCGCACACTTGGTCGCTATATTTCAATTCATTTGGCGTCTAAAAATTGACTTGAAGCAGGTATTTTCTGTTTTACCGGTTGATATTTTCGCGAAATATTTTCAAAAACCTGCAATTTTTATAATATGTACTATGCTGCAACAATTCTAGACATAATTTTTCAGTAATATCTCTTCTTTTGTTTTCCTGAAATGTATTTTGTACATGCACACAGAGACTTTTTACAAATTGGTCATATTTTATAGTTATTCAATTTTATTGCAATTATCCACTTTTTAAAAATTTCGACAGATTTTATGCAAATATTAACTTTTTCACTAATTTTTCCCCATAAAATGTAAACAAACAATGCGTGCACAACGATTAGCAAACGGCAGTGCCGTACTTATCCATTTCTGCATCTTCTATGCAGATCTCGCTTTGAAATGCATGTGCTCGTCTGAAAATTTCAGAGCGAGACCATAACGCAACTATGATTGGACGAAAAGTGTGCAGATAGCCTAATACGTACATATATCTTCATAGTCTCGACATCATTGTCCAATGTAAACGCGCCGTAAAGATCGATGGCTCAGTATATACTGAGGTCGAAGGAATCCATCGAATTTGAACGGAAACTATCGATGCTAAAAAGATATCGATGCATTCTTTGTTTCCCTATTGAGGCGCCAAATAAGTTTTTTTTTTCTCTCAGTTGCAATTTTACAATACCGTAGCAATGGATGAGAATAAATTAAAAAATGCATCCGCCTTTAATGGAAAGGAACCGGAATGCATCGAAGGGAATAGTAGAAACTCGAATATCAAAGACGAAATCAAGGTCATTCAAGAAAATCCAGATGAGCAGCAATACCTGGACCTAATAGAAAAAATTATTGCAACCGGTAGCTATATACGATTTTAAAAATGTTTTTAAATATGTGTCTTATTTTTTAACATTATTTTAGGCGTTGACCGTTCCGACCGCACGGGCGTTGGTACTCGCTCAATTTTCGGTGCTCAAATGCGTTTTAACCTCCGTGACGACTTTCCACTGCTAACTACAAAACGCGTATTCTGGCGGGCCGTTGCAGAGGAGCTACTTTGGTTTGTTCACGGCCAGACGGATGCGAAAATACTACAAGAGAAAAATATCCACATTTGGGACGGGAATAGTACTCGAGAGTTTTTGGATAAATGTGGTTTTCAAAATCGCGAAGAAGGTGATTTGGGCCCCGTATATGGATTTCAGTGGCGCCATTTCGGAGCCAAATATCGAACATGCAACGATAATTACTCGGGTGAAGGCGTAGATCAACTTCAAAATGTAATTGATACAATCCGAAACAAACCGAATGATCGTCGCATAATAATGTCTGCGTGGAATCCCCTTGACATTCCGCAAATGGCACTACCTCCTTGTCATTGTCTAGCACAATTTTTCGTTGCAAATGGTGAGCTGTCTTGTCAGTTGTATCAACGTAGCGCTGACATGGGATTGGGCGTGCCATTCAATATCGCCTCATATGCTTTGTTAACCTATATGATTGCACACGTGACCGGACTTCGTCCCGGAGAATTCGTGCACACTCTTGGTGATGCCCATGTCTATAACAATCATATTGAACCCTTAAAAGAACAGATAGCACGTAAACCCCGTCCATTTCCCAAACTAGTTATAAAACGGGAAGTGAAGAACATAGAGGATTTTACATTCAATGACTTTGAAGTTCTCGACTACAAACCCTACCCTAAAATATCGATGGAAATGGCCGTTTAGAATAAGTTAATTATTACAGAAACATTTTAAATAATATATGCTAATAATTTTATTTCAGATTTTTTAAGCTGTAAGCCCAAAAATATAAATGGAAGGTTTCCAAAACGCCTTAGTACTAATCCTGGCTTTTTTAATTATCAAAATAGAGTTTATAATTGGACCAGGTCGTCCGTACAGAAGCAGCCCGATTTGATATGGATTTGCTTTACTGTTACGAAGATCCCCAGCGATTAAATTTTAGACAATACTGAAAACCGCAAATTCTTCCGTTGTTGTCTTGAAAACGTGAAGAATTATTCTTAGTACAACCAGAAGTTGATGAAAAAAAAAACCAGATGAGGTATGTTTCCGATAGTACTAATACATAGTAATATATCGCACGTTTACTAAGAAAGGGAAGTAGTTCAAAATATACTTTTTTAGAGATTTCGTCGTAGAATTTATAAACTTGATCAGGAGAACATGTTCAGAAATGGCAAAGAATTGTGTCTTTCTATTTGCCTTTTTAACCGACTTCTCAAAAAAGAGAAAGGTTATCAATACGTCGGAATATGTATATACATTTTTTTTATGTATGTTACCGCATAACTTTGGACCGCGTTAACCGATTTCTATAATTTTTTTTTTAAGTAAGGGGGTTACCTCACAAGTGGTCCCATATTAATTTGGTTTAAATTCGATCATCGGATCATGAAGAAATTAACGATAATCTTAAATTTTTATATGAGAATTGAGGTTTAGTTTTTTGCTTAAAAATTACTTGTGGTATACCAACTCCATGAATTGATCAAACTTTGATTGCGTTTTCTCACAAATTTAAAAATTAAGTAATTCTCTATATTATTAAACGTGCGATATGATCAAGTTGCCGGAGCTGCTGTCATCATTGGTGTCTAAATGTACGGCAAAATTCTATCGCATTTGCGAATAACTGCATGTAGGTATATATCAAAATAGCGTTTCGTAGATTTCAAGAAAAGATTTATATCTGGCCAAGCACTGTCACTCAAGCAACACTTCCCACACTTTGGGGAACTTGTATGTTGTTACATAACATCATTGTTTAAGGTTTGCTGTATCCCATTCTGTCCAAATTATTCTAAACTAATTTTAAGAACTTTAAAAGTTAGTTATTCTATGCCAATTAGTTTAAAAATTGGCTTGTATTGTTTGTTCCCTGCTTTGTCCTACGTACTTAACCATATGGTTATTAAAATTTTTAATTGAACAAAAAATAGTGGGCCTGTAATAAATCGGCCCTTGGGGATCTGTTAAAGAGACTAGACATGTAGGCACTAAAAGAAACTGAAATTTCAATCCAGTGAATCATTCTTCATCTATTGGTATTGTGCTTTGCCACTTGTTCGGGTTGACGAAAATGTCGGAAATTGTACCGCGCAAAGTGAAGATCCCGCGGTTGAGAGGAACCGGTCGTGGTTTCTTATCCACTTCAGCAAGCCATTTTTTCCAAGCCTCTGCCGCCATTTGACGTCGCTGTTCTTCAATTGAACGGCGTCGTTCTTCCTCTTCCTTCTTGAGATTTCGGCGACGTTCCTCCTCCAGCTGTTTGGCACGTTCCCAGGCCTCTAATTTTGCTTGCGCTTCTTCTTCGCTAATAAGAGACTTCGATGGTTTTTCTTCCTGTTCAATCTGTAGCTTAATTTTTTCACGCGAACGAGTTTGACCGGATTTTGTTTTCAGCCATTGGTGAAACTTTTCTTCAGAAAGACGCTTTCTCGCCTCTTGCTCCTTGTGCTTCTGCTCTTCAGCTCTTCGTCGACGGGAAGCTTCATCTGATATAAGTTTTCTATGTAAAAAGGGAAATGTAAGCAATATACGTACAAAAGAAGCCGACAATCAGGACCTTTTGGCAGATAACCAGGTTTCATAAGCTAAATCAGGCTTTAAAACAATTTTAGCCGCTTCGCAGTGTTTGCGATATGAAAAAGTGTAGTCTCTGGTAGTAGGGTAATTATCTTCCGACTGGAGGTCCAAGGGTGGAACTATATCACTGTGATTCTCGGATGGTGGATGGGGTTTATTATCTTCATTTATACTACTTGTTTCGCTTTGGTCGGGAGTTTTTTCAATAAAAGCAGCACGATTTATGTACCTTAGGTGGCAAAAAGTTTTCTTTCCTTGTGACAAGGCGCACCCTTTGGGTGCATTCCAAAACATAAAAAAAAGCATCGGTCTCTTTTATTTCTAAACCGCACTGGAAGAGTCTATATGGCGCAAACTAGTTGCAAATTGGCATCTAACCGTGGTTGCGCACATTTGGCATTACAATCCGCTGAGGTTTAAAAATAAAAGCGACTGATGCTTAGTATTTTGACGTTTTGGAATGCACTATTTCTGTTAAAAATATTCATTACCTCACGCTTGACTTTGTTTCACAGCTTCGTGAACTTAGGATGATGCGAGAGGTACTGGCACTGGTACTGCTGGCACCTACTGAAATTGCTAAACTACGAGCCGAGTGGCGTCGCTCAATTTCGTTACCACTGTCATCAACCCGAGTTGTATAGAAGGCCATGATATCACTTTCGGCAACTGCTCTTTATCCCTGCACTGAAACGGTTGGCGATTTCAAAGAAACCTTATAAAAAAAATACTTTAAAATATGCTTTTCCTCTTTGGTTGTTGTTCGGAGCAAGATTTGGACAGTAAAAAATTCACGAAAAAATTAATTATCATGGAATAAAAATATTTTTAAGTTTGAAATATAATTTGGAGTTTGATAGGATAGGTTGCCAATAATACAACTTTTTCTCCCGTAGCAGAGTTCTTAAAGCCACAGTAGATACGGTTTCTCTAACAGGCAATAAATCTAAAGCACATGATATATTTTTCTTACAATTACGCTAATTTTATTTCTTTCCTTTCAAATATTTTCCCCTAAGACCTGAAACTTTACCAACTATCGGGAAAACTGATGAACTTGCATAGCAGGCTTTATATTGGTTTTAATGCCTGCGGGGGCCTTGTTTATTTGACCAACACCACCTGGACTTACGGAAGTCATGGGCGCAGACGCGCGTAGCGGTGGTACCATCATACTGCCAGGTCCTCCTGATGCTACATTCATCGGAACATTAACTTTCAGTCCTTTGCCCATTCCAACGGCAGCTACTAGAGCATGAGTGTCCGCCATACTGCTAGTTTGCTGAATACCTATGT